GATGGTACATTGATGGTACATTGATGGTAAATGATGGTACATTGATGGTACATTGATGGTACATTGATGGTACATTGATGGTACATTGATGGTAAATGATGGTAAATTGATGGTAAATTGATGGTACATTGATGGTACATTGATGGTAAATGATGGTAAATTGATGGTAAATTGATGGTACATTGATGGTACATTGATGGTAAATGATGGTAAATTGATGGTAAATTGATGGTACATTGATGGTACATTGATGGTAAATTGATGGTACATTGATGGTACATTGATGGTAAATTGATGGTACATGGATGGTAAATTGATGGTACATTGATGGTAAATGATGGTAAATTGATGGTAAATTGATGGTACATTGATGGTACATTGATGGTACATTGATGGTAAATGATGGTAAATTGATGGTAAATTGATGGTACATTGATGGTACATTGATGGTAAATTGATGGTACATTGATGGTACATTGATGGTAAATGATGGTAAATTGATGGTAAATTGATGGTACATTGATGGTACATTGATGGTAAATTGATGGTACATTGATGGTACATTGATGGTAAATGATGGTAAATTGATGGTAAATTGATGGTACATTGATGGTACATTGATGGTAAATTGATGGTACATTGATGGTACATTGATGGTAAATGATGGTAAATTGATGGTAAATGATGGTAAATTGATGGTAAATTGATGGTACATTGATGGTATATATGGTATATATGGTTAACATGACTGGGGTATATTGATGGGATCCATGTGATGGGATCCATGGCACACCATATATAGCAGCACCATGGATCCGTCATGGGTTAGGAAACTTCCCTTTGCTGCAGGCCCTTCTCCTTTTGCTTCTGAAATTTCTGTCTCGTTGGATAGGCGCGGGACCTTTCAACCAAGGCACTCAAACCACTTCAACGTATACCTCGGGTGACCAGTCAACACAGCAGGGTGCTGGATGTTCAAACGCGGCGGGAACGCTGAACAAACCCCTATGGAATGAAGGATATTTTTCAAGTTAATGGGCCTGACCTGCCACATTCAAAATGAAGTAGTCCGAATAAACAAATACTTTGACTTATGAAGATAAAGAGATCTGGACGAAGATTTTCATGTTGAACATCGACATTTTCAGGTTCCGTCTGATCTTTTTCAGGTTTCATTGTACTCAATTTTGGAGGAAAGTGCAGAATTAGGTTAATTAATTTGACACCCGACATTCAAAAAGTATCAACATCTATATGATCCATAGGCACAGTGAAGCCTCCCCTAAAAGACACCAGGTTGCGTTTGGTAGCTCATAGTTCCCAGGAGAATGCCTCAGATGACCGTCCACTGGCCAGAGACTGGTAAGCCCTGGCATCACCATTATAATCATCATTAATCATTAACAAAGTGCAAAGTGGAATGATAATCATTATTATTAAATATGGTTATTTAATAATATTATTTAACAATAATGGATAATAATAATATATAATAATCAATATTAATGATAGTAATGGTTAATAATAATGATTAAAGGATATTAAAGGTTAATAATGATTACAGAAATTACAGTCTGTTAAAGGTTAATAATGATTACAATGGTGATTATAATGGTAATGATCCAAAGTGGATATTTTACAGCAGATATCAGCAGATGCATCCCAAATTAATTGGGATCCAGCCAGCATCCTTGGGTAATCCCAACAAAATCAGCAAGATGCATAGTGTCCCATTTTCCTCGAGATTCTCTAATTGTCTTGGTCAAATCCAAGTTTGGATGGCACCAAGTCCCGGGATTTCTCTTGGTCTTTCATGGCCTTCATGCAATTTCATGAGGGCGATTTCAAAGCTTCGGTTCGGTGGTCCCAAATTGTCATTGACATATTTGTCGCTTGTATGAACTTATATGATATACGATATATGGTTGTTGCTGCGTTTATCTCCCAAATTCATTGGCTATATTCAAGCTCCAACGAGCTAACCTATCCCCATACGACTGACCCTCTGGTTATGTCAAAATAGCTATTGAAAATGGCCATTGAAATAGTTGATTTACCCATGAAAAATGGTGATTTTCCATAGTTATGTTAGTTTACCAGAGGGTAGTTCATTCAGCCACCAAAATCAGGCAACTGAACGCAACATTCACCGGGGTCCCCCATCCTGGCCGTATAGCTCTGGCCGTGCCTGCGATCCAAGCCAACAGGAAGGAAAATCCGAAGAATCCCAACGTTGACCTTGCGATCCAAGCTAAGGGAGGTGAGCACGTTCGACTCACTAGACGAAGTCACAAAATCATACAAAATCATAGATATTCTGTGGATTTCAAGATATTTCAAGACATTTCAAGACATTTCAAGATATTTCAAGATATATAAGCATGTTACCAATGATTGACCCACAGCTCTATCATGGTGCGGCAGTCTATCTCTATTTGGAACCCACATTGGCGCTGACAAAACCTGGCAAACGCATAGAATATGAAGATGGGCCAACAAAAAACTCCCAAAGGGTTCGTGGATAAATGATAAATTAAAGTGTATGTGTTTTTCTTAGTAACTAGTATCCACAATTCCAATGTATTTCTATGCAAACAGCGCAGTTCCATCACCGAAACAACACGTGACGTGTGCAGTTCCATCAATCTTTACAACCCAGAGCTTCTGGGGCAAATAGTTGGATGTCATGTAATTACTTATACATCTTATACCATAGTTGGAAATCACCAGGGATCCAATAACAGTGATGTGTCTCGTCCTTCATTTTGGCGTTTGAACCACAGTAACGCGGTTCACCTCCTAATCTTTGGTCTATCATAGACCCAGTTCTGCTGTAATGAACAACCAACTGGTGGTGTAGACGACTCATATCCGAAACAACATTTACCGGATTCTTCCCCTTTCAATCAGAAATATATCATCCCATCTCATTAAGATGCGAGTCCCCGATATTTTTCATAGTTGAACTGTTCTCATTCTTGACAGGACAGGAATTCCAATCCTGGTTAATTTCACATAACACCAAACAAGCAGCCAGTGCCTCACCCAAAAACCACCTGGTGATCCAAGAAGCGGTTCCGGTGATCGCCAGCGCAGCAGTCGATCCAGCCATGCGAAGAACATGCCTCGGTGAGCCCGGAGTTCAGCTCCCGGTGACCCCAACAAAGATAGACAAATCAGTGCTGGTGCTGGTTTTTGAAGGGGTTTTGTAAGAACAGCCCTGAAAACGTCTAACATTATACTCGTTTCAGTTTTGGATTTATTGATCAAAAAATTCCTACAAATGGATATATGAATGGAAATCGTAAAGGGAAAATCCACTATAAATGGAACACTTTCCTGTTCAACGTTTGAATACCGGAGGGTATAATCATTGATTTGGGGGTGCCTTTCAGGGACATGTCCCGACAAGCTGTACGCTCACCACGGCGTGACCCCGTGGCGACTCTTCTTTTGGATGATTATTGGGATATCTGGGCATCCCCATCTTTTGGTGAAACCATATCCCATATGCTCCATGTATGGTATATCTATCAACATTTGGGTGATTTGTTGGCAAATGTTGGTAAATATTCCGTGCATTCCATGCATGGAGCGATGGGTATCATACCAAATCCGTCATCCACGACCCTTTGCGGGAATATTGATCGTGGTTTTTCGTTCATACCATGGGCATACGGTATCATACCATCATTGTACATCCAGGTGTCATCATGTTCGTTGCCATCAATGGTCCCATCCTCTTGCTTTGGACAACAAAAACGGTACCCCAGAATCCGATGATCACAAAATGTCAAAATGGGGTGTATATAAAATGTTCAACCACACCCAAATATCGTATTGTTGGTGATATTTCCATATTCCACAAAATATGTCTAGGTTTAATCTGGTTATATCCCCATCATGCTAGTTATATATTCCCATTGAAATCTGCATGATTAACAGCCCCATCCACTGATATCCCAATGTTACAGAACATCCCGATTTTACTCCCGTGATATCTCTTTTTTAAATGCCTGCAAGGTGGTGCCCCCCCAGTGAAATGTTTGTTGGTCTATGAACCCCATTAACTAGTTCAATATATCCTCCATAAAGCATAGAATTTGAGAAATTCTTTTGAACAACTTGGCTATCATCAATCAACTATAAAATCAATAAATCCCGTTTTTTTCTAAGTTACATCGCCATTTTCTATCATGTTCTCCATGTTTTCCTTTGTTTCTCTATATGTTGCCCATTTCACCATGCTTTTGTCCAATGATCTGGGTAAATTAGAACATAATTCACTAACCTGAATTGTTGGGCCATTTGGGGATGATTTCCCTAAAATAAACCATGATTCCAGGGCTCGGAAGAACAGGCTTCGGTCGTGATGAAATTTACCCAGAATGATCCACCAAGAAACAGATCAACAGCAGGGCGCCGCAGGCCAGTGCCACCATGGTCTCTGCAGGATTCGTCAAATGCATCGAGGAGGCCACCGACAAATAGGTGAAGGCCTCGGACTGTTTGATGTTTTTGATGATACTAAGTGGATATAACTATTGGTGGATATAACTATGATAACTATGATAAGTGATCATCAAAAACATATTGGTGGATATAACTAAATATCATCTTATTGGGAATATAAGTGATTATAAGTGGATATAACTATGATACCGTGGATGGTTGCGAAATCCTGCACCAGTTGGTAACTACTGGTAACTATAGAACACTGTAAATAATGAGATTATAATGGCATACACCATCTACCAACTGGTGCAGGATGTCTTCCATCCACAAAATAACAATGGGAATATAACTAGTAACTATAGGGGATAGCCAGTTATATCTAAATGGAAATATAAGTGGATATAACTATGATATAATTGATCAATGATGGTTGGTTGATGACTGGTGAAGGGGATTTTACCAAAAATATATGACAATCAATCCATGAATGGGGATCGGGGATAAAAAACCAAGCCTAGTGGCTGCTAAAGGCAGCCCATGAATGCAGCCCGCTTGGTTGATGTTTCCTTCGATGATTATACTAACAAACATGTTGGGGAATATCACCATGAACGGGGAATCCGTGTCAACCAACATTGGGAGATCAATATCACCTGCCATTCATGGCCAACCATGGGTGATTTATGTTAACCATTGACTATAGATATTGCTATAAAATACATTAACATCAGATTTCCCTCTGGAAAAAATAACCATTATTAATTAACCATTATTAACCATTGACTCATGGTTAATTATACATTCGTAGCAAGTCGCCTATGGCATTTCAGTACATTTTTTTTTGTACCAAAACCCCCTGTGAGAATCGCCCTGGACTTGCAGCTCGTGGCAGGGTCGCTATGTTAGTTGGGATGGTATATTCATAGCAATTCTAGCGGTGTTTTTATAGCTTCGCAGAAGGATTTGCCAGTTACATGACCAGTGATTGTTTGCAGGTTGAAGTTCATAACCATCGTGATTGAATCCAACAATAAATGGGGACTAAAGTCCCGCATGAGGGGCCATCGATTGCTGCCAAAATTTTGCATGACCCTGATGTTTTTTTGAAGGGTTAAAAAGAAAGGTGAAATACGATGCAACATCTATACATCAATAGAAGTGCATTTGCAATTCACCCGAAATGAGCCATTTGTATTGTGGGATGCGGTCCTCGCTTCTTCACCCAAATATAGCTGGGATAATGCCAGAAAATGTGGTCTTCTTCACTGACACCGAAGCCAAAATGGAAAAGCCAATGCCAATGTCAAGCGTGCTTCCCAGGGCCAGAAAAGCCACGGAAAGGTCTTCTTTTGTTTGGCATGGTCTCAGGTAAGACTTGAGAAGCTTTTGCACGGGAAGAACAGAACAACCACCGTGCTGTTGAAGTGGACAAGGATGGCAGAACAGAACATCCAAGCCAGGCCAGACATCAGAAAACTGCAACAACTGCAGGCTGCTCAGGTTTTTGTGTCCTTTCGGAGTTCAAGAGGACACAATACCAGTGGTTGCTGGGTGTGGCCAGGGATAGATTCCTATGTGGGTCCACCAGCATACCCCCAGGTAGCAACCCTGTAACTTTAGGCTTCATTCCAGTGATACAACTGAGCCGATACGACCAGTACAAAAATGGGAACAATGCTTGCACTGACCTGTCATGGCTGTAACATCTTGTAAATCTCTTTATGCTGGCGGAATAGGGGTGAATAAGCAGCAAAATTCTCACTGGTACTGGTAGCGCTCACTGGTACTGGTAGCGACCGACAATGACAGAGTATGATGAATCACAGGTGAACTGCTCACTGAGTGAAAGCAGCTCCCAATTTCTCGTGGCTGTTGATGAATGCAAAGCAAGTGCCTATTTAGAGCTGCTGATTGTAGGGACTTGGAAAGGTTCTTTTTGAATTTGATCAAACATCCTAGGTACAGTACATCAAAATTGGGCTGCGAATAACTTGCTGGGAAGAACGCAAACACATCTCTCGAATATAGAGCACCATTTCCCTGTCACTACCCAAGAAAAGAGATGGCGTTTTTACATGGTTTAAATACGGCTGAACCACTCAACATGTGGATGGACAAACATGTCCCTATGCAGTGGAAAACATTTTTTGTTTTTAGACTGGTTTGTCCGATTCGTAACCACCAAATTATCAAATTTCACTGGCTAATCATCATTTTTCTCAATGAAAATGGTGATTTGGGCGCCCCATTTACAAATACCAAGGCCAAGCGCTTGGCCTCCTGAAATTTCCTGAAATGGAACTCTGGGACCCCAACAAAAAGGCACCAGGGCAGCACAATGGAGAAGAAGATCGGGACCAAACTAGCCCTGGCCGGTGAACCTAAAGGAAAAAATCTGGTTGGTGGTTGACCTACCCCTCTGAGAAATATTAGTCAGTTGGGATGATGACATCCCCAATATGTGGAAAAAAAATGTTCCAAACCACCAACCAGAACGCTTCTTTTCTAATCAACAAGGATCAAAATCCTAGCTACTTGGATGGCTTAGAGGGTATTGTGAATGCAAACAGCAATTGATCATCATTTTTTGGTTGTTAAATGTCGAATAAATCCACGTTTTCCGCCTGTTAGGTACCCACGAAAAAAAATCACCTGATTGTTGGTCATGACCCAATCTATCCATATCTGTGTTTCTTTAGATCCAATGTTTGGTGGTCAATGTCTCAATTTCATAATTAAAATCATAGGATCTAGTCCAATTTCACATCCGCAATGAGATTGAACATTTGCAAGTTGCCGGAATCATCAAATAAATGTCTGGGACAATCCTAGTGTTTTACAACCAACATAGTTTCTTCCAATAGTGTAGCCCATTTAGCCTGGGGTTTATCCCATTGAATACTGGGGCACGACCATGATTGTCGATCACATACCAAGCAAAGTTTGAACCAACCAGCAGCAGTAGGGTAGCAGGAGTGTACCACGTATAACACGTAGCATGTGGGGCAACTGGGACGCTCCTCCAAATAGGTAAGTGGGGTAAGTGGTTCGCATCCATGGTGATAAAATCTACACAAAAAAGAAAAGATACAATACAAATAGTTTCATATTGCTCTGTCATCAAAAATCCCCATAAGCAATTGTCCACAAAAACCCTTTCAGATTTTTCGGATTTTAGTAACCCAGATATAGAAAAGTACCTTCACAAATCATATTCACCAGCCATTCACCAGCCCAAAATGGGCGATTTTAGCCAGAAATCGGCAGCGCCTGAGCTTTGGCCGACCCTTCAGCAAGTCCAGTTCCATGGATCCATAGCCGCCCCATGGTCGGAACTGCCTCGATGTTACGAAAGGATCTAAAAAAAAGTACCTTAAAATGTTGTGAAACATCAAAATCAAACAGAACGCAAATCATATATATATATAGATGTATAATATTAATATTAATATATATATATATATATTCAAATATGCCATACATCCACGGTTGAGCCAGTAATGTGGTTTACACGTACCATTGGACCAGGCTCCAACCTGTTCCCAGTCAGTGATATGGCTGACTGTTAATACGAATACACCACCTTTTCTTGTTGGTTTCCTAAAATTGTCAAGGAAATGGTGAAGATAGGTATGAACTATCACTGGGTTGATCACGACGATTTATACTTAGATATGGATGTACATGATTGGAGGAAGTTCTGAAGTGGAGCTAAGGATCATAACGATCATAATATGTCAATACTTGACCAAGTTGAATTGAAGGCAGCCACAAACAAAACAACATGTGCTGCTGAGTGGCTTGATTTGGGGATCTTATCAAGCAACAAGGATGGACCGGACCCACCATCTTGGAATCCACCCCGCTGATGTGTGAACTTCTTAGCCGGGCATGATCTTCAACCATTAATATCATTATAAAATCATTATCATTATACTATAATAAAAAAATATCCTTATGATTATCAGTGTAATGGTTAAAACATGTTAGAACATATTAAACTTAACTGTTAAACTATGTCAAAAACGGCTATCTCCCCCCCAAAAAAAGGTTCTTGGGATCTTCGACTCCTCGGATAGTTCCATCTGGGCAGCCCCGACTCCTCCTTGTAGGGTATATGCAAAGGCAGCGGCATCACTTTCAGGAAGGGACCAACACACGGAAATCAACTTTGAGTTTCAACCTCTTTTTTGACAGTCCAGAGTTTCGCGGATTTCTGCACATAGACGATCATTTTGAAGCCAAATGTTTTGAACATCGTTGATACACGAAGTCGACCAACGAAAAAATGCCGAACCGCCCAGTGCGGTTCGGCTCTCACAGTGCAACAGTTCGGTAGACTGATCCTGAAGCCGCGGCAAGAGCTGCCACAGAAAGCGACGCGCGTCGTGTCCGTGTCCGACAGACCGCTTTGGATGTTGAAACATATTGAATCTATAAGTCTATAACAGCTATTAACAGCTGGTAACTGCATTACACAAAATCAAGTGATCACTTGATTTTTGTTTGCTAACTTCAAGAAAAACTCTGTGCTTTTGGGTATTCTCAAACATGGTCCCGAAGACAATGAAACAAAAGGATGGTTTAGTTTCAAGGAACCTTTTGCAGAGAAACTACCACCCAATGGGGCCTTCATTTAGCCATTCAAATGACATCATGGCTTTCGCTGGTTGAATCCCTAGTCTTGTTGATGAATTCCCCATTTTGGTGGCTTGATTCGAAATTTTATTTTGGCTGTCTCTTGGTTGAGTGAAATTCGATTTTGAGCAAATTCATGCAAATTCCATATTTTCTCAAGTCCATTCTCCTTATGTGGCTCGAAATCCAGCTCTTGTTTACTGAAGTTCCTGAGGTAAATTAAGAAGCTCGGCAGCTATTTTTTTCTGTACGCGACAGGCCTTTTTTGAGTGACCTGACCTGGGTAAGGCCTTGAATCGCTTGAATCGGGGGAATGGGCCAGGGGCCCAATGATATGGTCCCATTCTGGTCTCAACTGCTGACTCGATGGGATTCGATGGGTACCATCATGGCAACCACAGCGGCAGCCACGACCGGTAGAGTTTCTCATTGCACATGGTTAACGTTTTTTCATCTACTACCGATAACCGGTGCATAATTTCTGTGATTGACTTCCAGTCATTTGGGTTTTAGAATCAGGCATATTCAGGCTGTCCGTCTATTTCTAAACCTGTTCCTCTAAGTGTGGAGCTTAAAGAACCCTTTTGGGAAAGTTTGCGGATGCGATTCAATGGACTTGCCCGTCAAGAGAATCACAGTAAGCAAAATCTAATGCTATACAAGTCAGCTGAAAATCAGCCGAAAGGTCACTGGGTGCGAAGTCCAGTTTTCAATCGATCAAGTGGCAAAAAACACAGCTCATTATGTCATCATTTATGCAGCTAGACCCAATCGAGGGTCAAAAACAATGCTTCTTCACCTGTGCTGGCACAAGTTTGTCTTCATTCCCAGCAGAAATCAGCAGAACAAAAAACACGATCCAGTCGCACGGTCCCCGGTCGCAGTGATGGTCCGCCAGATGTTGGGTGAACTCCACTGAAAGCCAATGAAAAACCCCAGTTTTGGATAAATATAACCTAAGTTCTAAGCAGTTCAATGCTTTTCTGAGGCCGAGTTCTCACTTACCTCTTTCTAGTTCTAACTTCTAGCTCCAACCACAAGTCCATCAAAGCATCATGGTCATTCTTAGAGACCCTGCAAACAACCCAAATGTTCAGTTCATTAATTAATTAATGTTAATGCATATCTCCATCACTAACAGCAAAAAAACAGCGAATTAATAGCAACAATAGTAACAACGAAACACACTGGTATAGTCCATCACAATAAAAAAAAACACCAAAAAAAGCTGCTCAACAAGCCGACCGACCCAAATGGTAAAGGACAGCGGGGCCTATCTCTGCAGGAGACGGATCCGATATGTTGACACAGGAGTGCCGAAGCGCCGTTCAGGGCAGGGCCTGTCCGTTGGAACAGCTCTCCACACCTCTCCACACCTCTCGGGGGATTAGCCTCTGGCAACCACTTAAGCTTTTTTCTGGAAATTCCACCAGACAAGATGACATGTTCCTCTCAAACAGTAAGATCCTCCAGCGGCACCCTAGAAAATCCACTGATTTATCATCATTCATATTATATATTCATATCATTCCCAAAAACTGTCAAGAAAAAAATGGTGTATCAATGTATAAACTGAGAGTTTTTGACAGTGGATTTCCCAAAACCACCGTAGTTCCCATGGACCAATTGATGTCCATCCCACCTGATTTAGTGTTCACCCATCGCAAGATGTGGCAACACATATCCTGCGGATCAAGGTTTGGCCGACCCAGCTGGTTATGACACGTGGCACCAAAAGGTAGCACAACGATACGGGAAGGTTGGAGCTAAACCCATCCCAAGGTTCCACTGACATCATCAATTACCATCTGGTTATGACATTGCCAGTTCGCCATGGAAAATCATCATTTTCCATAGGTAAATCATCTATTCCTATGGACCATCTATACCATGGCTATGTTAAATAACCAGAGGGTATTTAGCCCTGGTGATTTTCCACCTCGCATTTTCACTTCTGCCAACAGAACGTATTTTGAGTGAACACGACGTGCAGAAGACATAAACTGAGGACTTCCATGGATTGAAGAATGGAGTGAAGACTTCGGCAGTTTCCAAATGATGCATCAAACCGTAGAAAAAAAACCGAGGAATTCGGGCATTCGGGAGCTTTTACATGAGACCACTGGTGATATCCTGTTGTCCAATTGGATTTGGAATGTGTTCTTCCTATGGCATTCCAATGGGGGATCCTGTTGAGTGAGAAGAGTTTCCCAATGGATCGATGTTGTCACTTCTAAAATGGCCTCGATGTTGGGGCCCATATGGGGAATATTTCATATCACATATTGATCCATTGGATGTAGTTGCGACTGGATTCTTGACCAACTGGGCCGAGTTGATGAAGGCGGTAGAATCCTGTTGTATTTACATGTATTTACCATCATTAGTGGCTCAAATCCCCATTTTGCGAGTGCGCCATCTTTTTTGGCTAAATCTCTATGCTTTTGATGGCGGTATTCTCTACGGCTTTATCCAAAGAAATTGCCGCGGCCCAGCTGCTTTGGAAGACCTTTCGCGAAGAGAGCCTCGGAGAATGGCGAAACATCAAAATCACGGGAATGAACATGATATGAATCATATGAATCATATGAATCATATGAACATGTTTTTTTGTCAAAAAAACAATCTCTGAGATTCATCATTTCGGAAATGTTTGCCGGTGATCCCATCACATTTTGTGACCGTTGAGGTGCACATTTCTTTGTTGCGGTGTCACTGAAACATCTTCGTGTTGCATAATTTGATAGTAACTGATAGTATGCATTTAGAACCATAGATTCACTTCAGAGAATTCCACATATAAGGTAGTGTTGGTTACATATCATATATTTTCCATTCATATGCCAAAGTAAATATCAATATCCGATTGAGAAACAATGAACATGGTCATTTTGTGGCAAAATCCCAGTTTTGTTGTATACTCATGTATACACCTCATTAAAAAATACTCCGTTCCAATTTATAGCCTGTTGAAATGACCATGCATATATATATATATATGCAAATGTAGATGTATATATGGCTATCAGTCAAAACCCTGGTGCGTAACCTCAAAATAGATGGTAAATAGATGTTCATCCCACAAACATTGATAGATATTGATAGTAATAGGTTCTGACCCCCGTTAAAGCTGGGCACCATTCGCCATGCTCCACGTTGGGCACCGCTTCCACATGCAGTCTGCCACTGTCGTGCAAGGTGCGGAGGCCAAAGGCGTCCTGTATGTTGATGGGGGATAATAACTATAGTTAAATAGGTAAATACATGATTGATATATATATATATATATATATATAATATAATATAATATATATGGTTCATGATTATTTGATAAGAATCAACTCATTCTTATTTCTGGTTTCTGCGGGATAACTATAGTGGCCTCTTCAAGCCATCATTGGTGGCATTTTTTGCCAGAAACCATGCGAAGCTAACAAATTATGGAATTTGAATGCCTATAGGGGAATAGTGCGGAAACATGTTCATTTCCGAAACCCAATTTGCTGCAGAAATCTCTCAAATCCCTGCTTTCCAGGGTTGAACTGATCCATTTTTCCCATCTTCAGCAGAAGATGTGTCCTCACGGAAGAGCTTCTGCTTCTTCATCGGAAGAAGTTCGTCATCCGTGCCTGGATAAGATTGGGGAGATGACAAAATGTCCATCATAGCTGAAATTAGATAATCTCAAAACAATGGGTCACTTTCTAGCTGGGAATTTCCCCGCTAACCCATTATAACCCATTAACCTGCCCAAAGGTCTTCTTCAAACATCCAGGGCCACAAGAAAATCCAAGGGATCCAAGATCCAAGGGATCCAATTCTTCGGGCTGTTGGTTTCCGAGGCACCTGGTTTGTAGAAGCCAAAGATTCCAGATTGCCATGGTTCCAAGCCCAGTTTTGAGTCGTAGTCGCGATCTTGGAAACTGCCAACCAGAAACCTTGGGAAGGAAGGAGTTCGGGGGCCAGTTCTGCAACCCCAGCCTCAAGATGCTAGCCAGTTCGTGTTTGTTTGTCCTAAATGGCGTTTCAAATATGGAAACTTGCAATCACCAACCACCAACAGTTTTTTTTCCCACTCCAGCAGCAACAATTCCATACAATTCCTTTGTACCATCATTTTCTCGTGATTGGATGTTCATTTCAATGTGTGAAAATTCTACTGTATATTTACTATGGTGAATCATCTTCAATCTTTTGAAACAAATCGCCCATGACAACAAGCCTACCATCTGGATGTTCAAAGGCCGGTCAAGTAGTCGTCTGGAAAAGGCACGACGTATTTGAGATCCCGGCACGAATTCAATCGGATAAAAATGATCAAATAAAATTGAGACTACATTTGAGTTTTCTCTTCCGTAATGATCTGATCATCGAGGGACACGGCTTTCCTCAACTTCACAAAGTTGCCTTTGCCGACACTGCCGCGGCCCACTTCACCGTTGGCACGAGGCAGAAAGGCCTTGAGCGGCGCGGCCCAGCAGATCCATATGGATCGTGGATCCGACAACCCACAAGTCATCGCAGATGCTTCAAATTTCACGGAACATATTTTAGTCACCATATTTTTTGTTGGAGAAAAAACTTCAGACAAGGGAACCATATGGGAACCTGTATGAAGCTATAAAACCATCAACTACCCGTCAACGACCCTGGTTCCGCTTGAGATGAACCAGTTCTACACGCCTGGTCAAAGTGGGGCCACAGCCCACCCCAGGTGAAACTAAAACAGTCAAACGTGGCAACAAAAAATCACTCAGATTTCCCAGTGATGTTAGCTTCGCAGGGCTAGTGACATTTCCTTTCAGGTAGTCTTCCTCATGCAAGGGGTCGTGCCACAAATTGGCTAACCTTAGCTGTGACAAGTCGTGTTGAAATCGGGAGCTGTGGTTGGTTGGAGAATCGAGTTACCGTTTCTACAGGAGTTGTGAGCGGAGTATCCTCTGTCGGTTTGCGGTTAGGATTGGAAACCCGCAATTCACCACCTACATCAGGGATCATCAGCTTTCAATGTGCGTCCGCGAGAACGATGATCATCACTGCCAAACGCAAAACTCCTTGACTGGCTGAGCATGCTGACAAAATATCAAATGATGAACACACGAGACAAGACCTTTTTAGGATAGTTTTCAATTATGTTTCATCACTTGGGACGTTTCGCTTTACCATGGACAGTAGTCCCCACACCACTTGGAAAATGTTATCCAAAATCATCAACCACTATCATCATGCAGTCAGTATTTACATCTAATGTCAGTACGTCTGTATATGCAGATCATATGAATATCTATGAATATGTGTTGTATAGTTGTATATCATATCAATATGTACCATGGGCACTACTGACCCAAAAAAACAAAGGTCGTTTCATTGAAACCTGGTTTTTCTTTCCATGACCTATGTTTTATAGGGATGAAATTTTACCTTACTAAAAAACCAGGTTATTGAGAATTGATGACTTCACCAGGGCTTACAACCACCAATGTTAATGTTCATTGCCATTACTTTCAACAATTGCTGAATATAGCTGGTAACCAATTGATGAATTCTATCGATTGCTGTGGTGGCTTTCCTCATCTGGTGGATCAAGGGCTGGCTTGCATCTGTCAAGCCTTATATAGATGGGAAACACATTCCTAGCTGATGATTTGGTCAACCCAGAAAAATACAACATGTGACTTCAATGCTCCCAACAATACGATATGGATTCAACCGAATCATCTCAGGAAAACATGATCATCACAATATTGGGGTAACTATCCCATTGGCCCTCCAAGATAGTGGGTTTTGGATTTCACTTTGATTTAGCCCAGCCATGCCTTCTTCCTGGTGATTCTCTCCCTATGGATTCATGCCCCACTGCCACGGCCACATTGGCATTTGCTTTTCTTCGCTGCGGTCTGCGATCATCTATGACTTTGTGCGGAAGCCTGGTCAGACATGTGGCGCATCAGCTGTTCTAACCAGTGCCAATAATGTCAGAGGGGCAACATTGATCTTATATAGAATGAGTTATTTTTTTATCCAATACTGATGTTGCAGCAATTTACTTCATGTGAAGAAATGATACACATATAGTTTTCATCACACTGCCACACAGCCCATTTGGAAGCTCAAGTCATCACTAGGGGCTATGTCGGGCCCAGCTGATATCACCAATGTATGGAGGGAGTGGAAGGCGCAGCCTGCTTGTCGCAGCACTGCTATCGACCATGGACACCTCTTAGTTAGCCATCGTGGGATTGCACAACCTCTGAAAACTTGTATCAGAGATGCGGTCCGCAACAAGTTTGCTTTGATGCCCTGTCTTAAAGCTATGGCTGAGACGGAAGGTTTCAAACTGTTTGGCATACAGGAAGCCCAGCGAGAGTCACTTATTTGTTCAGGATTAAACAAAATGTGTTTTCCCATTCTTTGGTGACAAAACTTGGGTTGATTTGACAAAATGGGGATTATAGATCGGGGTATCCTTTTTTTATTGTCCATAATGAAATATTTGATTTTATTTTCTAACTATGAGGCTGAAACTACTTCGAGACCATCTCCACCTTACCCCCGACAAGAATAGAGTCAAGTTGGATGCATGGGGCCTCAAATCGTTGTGCTCTTTCGTGAAGATGAAGGCGAATAAGGGACTTGCTTCTCGCGATCCTTGGTTTACTTGACCAATTATTTGCAAGCCTTTACCTGGATCTGTTTTACTCTAGGAATAGCAGTTGGATTGAAATACATCTTTTTAATTTCAACAGCTCGTATATGTTCCAAACCCATCGCTTCAGGATGTTGACTTCTTGGCCATGCAACGGATCTTTGACCCGTCTCTGGAGGCACATTGTCTTGGTGGAATGCCTGCTGCCTGAAATTGGGATACAAGTATATGAAATATTATGAAATCATTTCGAATAGAAAAGAAACTCTTTTAGGCTTATTTAGGGTGCGTTTGACATACTGCTAAAATTTCACATTTGCACTTCTGCATGTGGGCCCATTTCAAGTCAATTTGCTATATACATATCGTTCTTGTTTTTGGATAATGTTGAAATCTTTCCATATTTAAAATGCACATGTGCAGGCCATGTATTGCCATGCATATGTTGCCATTATTTATTTAAGATATACCTATTTGACCGAATCTAAAGATCTCCTGAATCCCTTTCTATATATGATTCCCACTTCAAACTTCATGGATTTATCCGGCCGGCCTTGATGTCACTGGCCAGGCTCCTCCAAGCATTGCTGGTGCTGCCTTCGACGAGGACGAATTTGGGGACAGCTTGGGGCACATGGATGTTTCTGAGGAAGAATCTGCTGAGGGTGGCAACGTCACTCTTGATGAGCCTATCACTGATGGCTTAGAGATGGAGTTTGGAGATGAGGGTGATGATGGTGATGGGCCTGATGAAATCTGCCTTGATAACATCGAGGATGATGGTGCCTCAGACCTGCCTTCCTTGAGCGGGCTGCCTGCCCCGAGTTCTCAGCTGCTCTTTGACCCGAGTGACCCAATTGAGGATGTGGTTGAGGAGAATGTGGGAGGTGGAAAGGGTGAGAAAGATGATGCCCATTGCCCGCGTCCAGTGGCAAGACCCTTGAATGCTGTGAACCCGAAAAGCCTTCCATATGATCCCAATGATGAAGTGGCCCTTTTTGGCAGTGATGCTTCTGATGAAGATGATGTACAAGTGATGCATGAAAGCATTGTTGCTGTGCCTACAGGGAGTTCCTCTTCATCTGCTGGATCGGGCAGTGATCGGGCTGCGCAAATGAAGGCTATTATGGATCAAATGAAAGCCTTGCAAGAAAGACTGGACAACATGTACCTCATCAATGATATTAAATGCAAGATTTTGGGTTATATGATATATGCATATATATTTATTGTGCTGGTCTAAATATTATGGTCATGCACATGTGCAATGCTACTGCAAATTGGGAATATCTGAAAAAACTATAGCGGTTACTGTTGCACATATGCATTAACTTAGTTGTACTTTTTTGGTTTATGAATGCAGTAGCGGTAGAATTTAGAATCTTTACGAGTTCTCGGGTGCCTTCATTTCTGTTGGCCTTTGGTTTCCCTGCTATGATTCCACCTGCCCAGGACCCCCAAGAATGTCGTTATTGTGGACACTCTTCCTTATGGCAACGATGTTGATGGGACCTTGCCGATGCCAATGTCTCCAACCTCATTACCCGCTGATGTGGCTGCAGCAGTAGCCCGGGAATCTCGTGACATTGATGTGGCAACCAACAACCCAGCTCCCACTGAAAACGATGTGCCTGAAGAACCTGTACCTCAATTAAATTATTGCATTCTTTTAATTGTTTCCCAATTAGTCAGAATTTTGGTGTCGTGTTTTTGTTCTATATAATATTTTTTTATCCCCATTTGAAAAACAAATCAATCCAAATGCAAATATGGTGTATTATGGTTTTGCTGTTTTCAGAACATCAATATGCAAAATTCCAATACATGTGGCTCTATATATAGAGGTTCAACTCCTGCTGCTGCAGGTACTGACCCGTCGAATGCAGCTTGGGCTGAAGCACAGCATGGCAGAGATTGAAGAGGGTGGGGTGCCTGCCAAGGGCAAGGGCAAGGGTCGTGGAGGAAAAGGACGTGGCCGAGGCCGAGGCCGTGCCAAGTCTAGCAATCCTGCCCCTGAGGTGCCTGAAACTGAGAATGTTGAGGTGGGTGAGCCAAGTTTCAAAAAGAGAACAAAGGCAACTACACCTGCAACTACACCTGCCCCAGATCCCAAGGCAAAGGCCAAGTCGAAGAGCAGATCCAAGAGATCCCAGAAGAAGGAGCCTGGTGTAGAGGTGGTTGAGAACCAGGATGCCAGTGGAAGCCGAGATGGGCTCCCAGCCGCATTGAGTCATGATGCTGTGCCCACAGCTGCATCCAGTGATGCTGCACCTGCTGTGCCCAAGAGGCGACGCTTGAGGAGGGTGGTTGATGCTGAAGTTGCCCCCCCTCCCAATCCCGAAGCTGTGCCTGCGATCAATGCTGAAGTTCCACATGGACCTGTTCCCAATGCTGATCATGCTGAACCTCCCCATTGTGTTGCTGAAGTTCCTGCCCGGCCTATGCCTGATGCTGATGCTGAAGCTGGTGGCTTGCCCGTGGGTGAGAATGCTGCTGACCCAGAGGTCGTGGCTGTCAATGGGCTGGATGGTGAGTCTGTCGCCAAGATCAGGGCTTGGAGCCGTTTGCCACAGAGGTGGCAGTCCTTGTCCCACCTCTTTGCTGGCCTCTTTTCTGAGCCCCGTCCTGAGAACCTCCCAAAGTTGACCTACTACACCCTCAGCATGTATTGGAAAAGTTCCCGGGTTGGTCTGGTTCAAAAGCCCAAGAAGAATATCCTCAGTTTCGGGTCTGCTGGCTCTCGTCGCATTGGGCTGGCATTGCGAGCTGTGGATGACTATGTCCCTCGAATTACTTGGGGGCATTTGGGGAAGTTCATGATGGCTCACTGTCTCGAATTTATATATGCACGCATGTGCATGTAATTTATATATATCTGCAATTCTGATCAAAGGGGTTGTCAAAACATTGAGTATCAATTTGGTAATTTAGAAAAATAAGTTAAACATATTTCACGTGCATGTACTTCATTCAATGATTGAGATCAGTTTACTAGTGCATGATTCATATATATATGGTACTTCCACGTTCCTGTTCGCCATTGTCAGGTTCAGTTCACTGGTGGCGACAATGAGGACGTGGTGCACAATGTGGCGGCGAACTTCCAGCACCGTGAGATTTTGCAGGAGATGATCGTTGTGTGTGCGAAGCTTTGGAAGTTGCAAAAACCCCCCAGTGATTTTCTGGCTGAGCAGGCTTGGTTATCTTAATAGATTGGTTTAAAACCATGCGGAAATAGATGGATCCTGTGCACTAGCCACTGCTTGCTTTGATCAAAAGGCATGTACATAAGATCGGCTATCTAGGTCAGTGCCAGCTTGTCGACATCTGGGTTGGGCAACCTGCTTCACCCAAAACAGTTCGCATATTAGTGCATGAAAGTGTTAGTTTTTCTTTGGTTGAATTATATCTTATTTAAATAATATGTCGTTGCCCAACTAGGAGTGTAGCAAACGCGAAGTAGTTTGCCGCAGGGGGGGATACAAGCATAGACCATTGATCAGGTCATGATCTTTTGTGTACACTCGCTTGAAATTTCTGTGCTGTGCCGGGCAAGAAAAAGAAGTGTGAAAAAGCCTGATATTGCAACATGCAAATCCTCATCTACTGGCTACTTGTTTTTGTTACCAGATTAGCCTATAAATATATCAAATCTGTCCAAATTTATACCCTGATAAATTCTATGGTAGGTCCCTGTGCTGCCCTGTTTCTTTAATGGATTGCCTGGTTCCAAGTTGTACCCTAGCCGGCCTGCTGAGGTCTCGCAGCAATGTCTTTGAAGCGCAAGGCCTGGGCGCTCCGCTTGGGGAGCAAAGTATCAAACGATGGACCCACTGGCTTGTTTGAGTGAGGATGTGTGGGTGGTTGAATCGAAACCAGTTGGCAAGAAATATTGAAATTCCATATGGCTTTACAAAACCTTTCAACTGAGCACTTTCAAAATCTTGTAGCTGAGCTGGGTATGTGGGATGTGCTGAAACACTTCCAACTTTGTGTGCTTTCCGTAGCCTTTTACATATACATGCAGTTTAACTTCAGCTTAGCCTCCATTGTGTAGAAAAATTGTGGTGGCAATGGCGACTGTGCGCTGGTGGACCCTGAATCACATTGTCTTCCACCTTACAAAAGCAAAGGTCCCGAAGGTGGGATGTTGTTCAAATTCTAAACTGACATGATGCATTTCTATTTCACTTTTGCTGCAGTGTCCCTTCATGTCAACAAAAAATGAAATCCACATTGGTATATATCTACAATCTCTGAATATGAATCCATATAGCTAATTCATTATTTATATAATCAACGAAATTTGGATACAAAGGAATTTACCTGGGGCCACCCAAGTTCCCTGCCTTTCTTGTCAGGTGGTGCTTCTCGCAGTTCTCCTCATCCTGTGGGCGATCAATGTTGAGACCCTCACCGGTGTGCCTGGGCAAAACATTGCCATGAAAGCCTTGTCATGCAAGCAAAACGTAAAGAAAAACTATTTAAGATAATCGAATCAATCAAAAACAAACGTGAATGTCCATCGGGAAATTGTGTTGCTTGGTACTATGCATGCAGTTTTTTTGGGTGGAGATAGTGTGGTGATATCATGAACCCAGATGTGAAGCATAGAAATGTGGCTTGTAAATTGCAATGGTTACATCATATTGCATCCTATCTTGCCATTGAGGCCTACTCCTTCATAGAGTACTTTGCTGGAACTGCATCCTGCTCACGTGCCATTAGATCAGCAGGACACCATACGGCTTCATTGGATATATTATACTGGGACACCAAACCAGGCAAGCAGAATGTGATGGACATTCTCACTCCCAGTGGAATGGGGTTCCTTGGGCATTTTTTTGCACACCATGTCTTCTAGCACATGGCTGTTGAATATTAGATCACATGATATGCGCATCACTAAATTATGCATAAATTTACTTAGGTTCACGTTATGAATGCATGTATGGTATGATGTCTGAACTCATGTCGCGTTTATCTTGACTTACCTACGTCTGAGGTTGGCCCTATGCACGATCTTGAACGCCAAACCAGGAGCATTTGTGGTACTTTTGGGCGTGGTTTGTTCTTCTTGGACAGTTGTCAATGCTGGAACTAGCCGGCGCAGTGTATGCCATCCATTGGGATCTGAAGACCGGGACTATGTGAAAGCTGCCAACATCATGATTTCCCGGTTCTTTTGTTGCAAAGAGTTTCAATGAACAAGCAACTTTAACTACTGGTGTGTGCTATGACTCGTTTTCATGCATATATTTTTTTGGTGTTTGTTTCGATCAACAACCCAGCCTCAGATTGCCAAGGGTCTGCATCTTGATTTGGCTGATTGAGAGCCTGGGCGGGGTGTGGTGCGTCGAGCAACCTTCATCGTCATTGTTAAGATGGCATCCAAGGATGTTGGACTTGTTTGAAACCTTCCAAGTATTTGAGCTATATATATACAATTCGATCTCAAGTTTTCGGGATTTTTTCAAACCCTCAACCTAAAAAATACACATTGCAATATATTGTAACCTTTTTCAAATGGTTATGATCACAATTGGTACTGTTTGCAACATTGGGTGGTAATTGTTACTTGTTAAAGCCATGGCACCCCAGAATCTTCGTTTGGTTTTTATCCACTGTTTGCCCTAACTTAGGTATACTGTGCCCGGTGGTGGACGGCTGCATACAATGGCAAAACACCAAAGCGCCATGTGATGTATTCAAATTCAAAGGCCATTGGTCTGTTTGACATGGGGAAATTGGTTTTCGACTACAAGAACCCTGAGTACAAAAAGCACTCCACGACCATAAAGAAAGTCACCTTCAAGGATGGCAAGAAAAAAACAGCCTTTCAGGGTGTCAAGAAAAAGTTGAAGCAATCCCAGTAACTTGGATGCAACGCCGTGTTTTTTGCTAGCACCCAGCCCTGGGTAGAACAATACATGGGAACCCAACCATGAAAGATCCTTTACTGCTAATTGGGATCTGGTTGATTTTGAATACTTCAATGGAATGTAGGGGAATACTATTGCCATATTGAAGACTTACATTTGGACCAGTAAAACAAATGTGTTTGAATGGCGGCTCAACTGGATGTATAATATATATATGTAGGGTGGGTCACACGCCCCAATCTGATGCCAAGCAATGTGTCGCTGTGGAGGGTTGTTTTCCCAAAAATGTATCTATAGGGAATGCGTCTATATATTTCTGGTTAGCTGTTACGTTATATGGTTTGAGTTACCAATCATGGTTCGAGTTACCAATCATATTGATTAATTCTTTGGGTTAATGCATGCAGTATGCATGCAGCATATGCTATCAGGTTGCCAACAGCCTGTGCCACCATAATTGGGCACCGGACATTCTCCAACTGCTTGCCAGTTTCCTGAAAGGAATGAGCAAATTGCCCCTCACAACAGTTGGGCCAAGTTCTCAAACCCTTCTACTATTTTATTCTGGATGCCCTGCAATGGATACAAATGGTGATACAGATGCCTAGAACAATTCCAGAAGACCCCTTGGTTGTAATTTATTTAATGGAATCCCCATACACACAAGTTCTATTGGCACCACTTTTATATACTATACCCACAGCCTCAAACACATATTCCATTCTGGTTAATGTTAAAACCAAAAAAACATTCTCCATCGAAACTCCGGCCCCAGGCACTACCCTATGGCCTTTGGGTTGCGCTTTCTGCGGCTCCTTCCCAAGCTGAAGAAGTCCTGCAAGCCACCAGCGGAGGACTTGCCAGCTGACTATGATCCACGGGAGGACTATTGTAGCTTGAAGTTTGCTGATATTTGGAGTGATGCTGAGATGGAAAACGTCTTAGAGTACCTAAAAGGGAACTCTTTTCTTCGCATTCCAGATGAATGGCGATCCATCTTGATGGACAATGATCAGTAGACCAAAACGGTTGAACAATTCAGTATCGCCTTTGGGTTTTACTCAAAACCATTTTGATTTATGCCGTTTTTTGGAACCTACCCGTAAAACCAGGTTTTACTGCCGTAACAACCCGCAAAAAAATACGTACCCGTAAAAACCCCGTAAATATCCGTAAATAACCCGTAATTTTTTACGTAATTTACCCGTAATTTACCCGTATCCTCAACATCGTGTTTTTTCAAGTTTGACCTTGGTTTGGGTAGGTTCCAGATTCTGTGGGGGCTGTCCATTGTAGTTTGGATACAGCGACAACTGATTAGCACAAGCTTTGGGGAAAATCATATGGCAAATGTGTCCTGATTATACTTTGTGATTTGCAACTGCGTTGAAACCAACAATTGCATTGGACGATTTGCAAAAGTATTTGGATTTGCAGCTCCATATTTCATATCAAGTTGCTGAGTGTTTGCTTTCCTGCATCGCCCACCATGTCACCCAAAGTGGGTCCTTTTCAAAGCAAGCAGTGGAGCTGCTCTGAGCTTCAAGAAGGCAATGCTGCCTTGATGGCAGCGAAGAAGGAAGTTGAATCCAACCCAGCGGATGCTAGAAGGGCATTGGAACAGCAAATGAAGGCCTGATCATATATTTAAAAGTGGTTATACATGTTGCAAAACATAGGCAATCCACTCCCTAATATGCCCAGACCATATACCATCCTGTCTATAGGCGCTCCAGCAGCAGTTGGACGCAATGCAGGTGGAACCCTGGATGCAACTATATTCCCATTACTACGTTATACCAACAATGAAAAATTAGGTTGATGTTGTTTTTCTTCTAATCTCATTCCTGAACTTTGGTAAAATCTGTGTAGCAAAGTAAAACCCATATGGTTTGTTGATAGCATTGGATTGCTTTGACGAGGATTCTGGTGCTGAAACTTTGGCTGAAGCTGACACACTTCCCGTCCCTTGGTTGATGCTATGGAATACATGCCTGAAGTCAATCTTCAATCCCATAAGTTACATTGGTACAGCTGTATGCATATAGGTCAATCGATAATGTTTGGATAGATCTTTCGTGCATTTACTGCAAAAATCTCGCAAATCGTTGGCTAAGTATGGATTGGAACGGGATGCTCACCAAATAGATATGTTCCCCCAAACACGACTTAGGCCAGTGAAGAGCAGATTGCTGCATCCCACAGCCCTGCTGCAGAGCCTCCAGCGGAGCCTCTGCCGAAGAGACGTCGCAAAGCGCCTGCAGCTGAGGAGATATCGGGGTGTCCTATGGGAGTCTCAGTCGTGCCCAAGGTAGAAAGATTGACAATGATTTTTATTTTAACGTGGGTTCTTGATAATTTCAAAAATTTCATATTTATGGGACTTTTGAATATCCCGCAAAGTTGTGCAATATGAGTTTTGCAAATCCTTCAAACTATGTTATGACAAGTGGAATTAACAGCTATTCTTGAGCATGATCACTAGGAGAAGAAGGAGCCGCAACGTACAGCGGCTAAGAGCAAGCCACCGACACCACCGGCTACAGAGACATCATCAGCGTGCCCAACCAGCCCTGAGGTTGAGGGGGAACAATTCTAAGTACCAGATCAATATACCCAAATGGTGTTAATTTCAATAGTTTGCAAACCAAAGGAATGCCACAATGTTGTTTTGTCTTAATTTTCAATCCCACATCACCCCAAAAGGTTGCTACGAAAGTTGATGACATGGCCAAGCAGCTTGCAGATGCTTTGCAGCTCATTCGGGAGTTAAAGGGGGCAAAGCCTACGTCGACCAGTCCACCTTGCACCCCATTGAGCCGGTCCGTGTCCAACAAGTCCCCTGCCTCTGCGAAGGCAAAATCGGCTGCAACACCCCCGTCAAGCGCTTTGCCTTCGCCGTCGTCGTCGGAGGGTTCCAAGTCCAAGTCGGCTGACCCTTTCTGGTTCTATTGGGTATAGATCTTTATAACATATATTTTGGTGTGATTTGAATTGTGAGCTCAAGACTATATATATATATATAGCAACCTGCATTTGTTCTTCCCAGCTGGAACTCTGTTAAGGATGCCGTAGCTGCCCGTTTACGGAGGGTCTGCGAGAAGAAGCCCTCGGGACGCTGTCATGTCCCAGAAGAAATTCACGAACTTTGGAAACAGGGTGGTGCCAAACGTGATCAGTTAGAAGCAGTTTTCCTGCAAGTGGGTGAAAACAAGGACAATGGTACCCAAAATTGTTGTAGATGTTAAAGTAAAGAACCACAACTACAACTATGTTGTGGCATGCTGAATCCACCAGGAGATGTTCATCAACACAGTGACGAAGACTTTGGAACGCAAGAATTCAAAGGAGCAGGAGGTCCAATCGGGATGGTTCACCACGGAGGAGATGTCACACTCATTGGGATGGTCCAAGATTCTAGTTTGATATAATTCACCCAGTGTTTGATTCATGTGGGAGCCAAATTTTGTTGGTGATATCATGCAACATGACCATAGCGATTCATGTTTTAAATGAGGAGGCCCATGCCCCACTGATCCACCCAGACCTGCGTAAGGAAGTACATCGCTGACGTGGTTGCCTTTTGCAAGAAGCGACCATCAGCACTGGTGAAGAAACTTAGCTCTAGTGGATCATCTAAAGCCTATAATGTTGAAGATCTTAACTGATCAAATTTTATCAAATCTTGGGTATGCAACTTAGGAAAGACAAGTATTCCGACAAAATGGATCGATACTTTGTGGACTTCAAAGACCAGTCATCCCGCAAGCAGTCGGAGACAGAGATTGAAACCCACACGCAGCAGGGAACTGCCCAGGGCCTAGGCATATGTCAATAGCTTGTTCTGACCCACATATTTCATTGATAATGTTAAAATGTTCAATCACCTTACCCGAGTAATCCATATATGATCGTTCTACTTACCTAGGTTCATGGCAATCGTGAGCTCCAACTTCGAGGTGATTTCTTGCCTTTGGGGTTCTTGGCTGTTAAGCCTGATGAAGATGAGGAAGGCAATGTTGAAGACATGTCGTCGCTGGATGCTGTAACTTCCCCGCAAACAGTGCGAGAGTTGATACAAGAAACAGAGTATCTCAAAATTTAGAATGCGACATAATTACAGATGACCAACACATGAAAATCAAATTTATTCCCCAACTGTCTTCTCAGGTGAAAAAGACCGAGAAGACCTTCGAGGACAACATGCTTAAGAAGCTCTCCAAGATTACGGACCTGATGTCACGCCTGGATGCGCTTGCCAATGGTCCGGACTGCCGAGTCCACAAGCACCTTGGTGAGCATCTCTTCCGTGGACACTGTTGGCTCCAAAAAAATGTAGTTTCACTGAATCCCCACAACCTTACATCATAAATAGTAAATTGTGATTATTGTTGCAATGGTATGTATCCTAATTTATCTTCATGGGATCGAATAAACAAAGACCCGTCAGGCATGTGAAAAAGATGGAGGCCATTATGGATGGCACCCAGAAAGCCTTTGACAAGTTCAGTTCCTTGCGCTTGGAGCTGGATTCTTTGGATGAGCGATCGGATGAGATTCTTGACACTATGTGCTCGAGACATCCCGATGTTATATACATACGGAAGAAAAACTATTTGAACGTTTATATATATAAGAAATACCCTTGTGCTCCCATGATTGGGTTCACCTATAATATTACAATAGTTGGCACATTCATGCACTGACCCGGCCCCATGCTGTTTGAGGAAGACCGCTGAGATCAAGAAGGCCATGCGTGAAGCCATGGCAGCGATCTTTAGTTGCAACTTCATCACATTCACTAGGATGATGTCTAGCATATGCAATTCAATCGATTGAAAATTTATAGAATACACAATGTGGGGGGATGTAGCAAGAGTTGACCCTATGTTAATTGATACAACCAGAACCCTGCAATTCCATCTTGCTTTGTGTCATCTAAGGAGCGCACAGCTACAGACAGTGGAAGCCCAGGGCCAGCATCTAGCCTGCACTGAGTGTGGGACCAAAGGTGTGCTGGAACCCTTCCAATCCAAACCAAGGTCGAAAGCATGTTAGGCTATTGCATGAACTTACCAAGTAAGTAAAGCAATTAGACACATGATGGGTAATTATGAAATATGATAAGTTATCATATACAACTCCTGTTGACTTCCAATGCTCTGAGGTCTTTGGAGAAATCCATCAAGAAGCAGCAGCAGGCTGCAGCAAAGGCAAAGGCTGAAGCCGAGGGTGGAGCTTGAGGTGCTATCTTTTTGAACTTTAGCCGCTGGGGCAAATCCATCCCTGAATTGCAATTCATTGCAGTTCCCATGGTGGATCTTTGGGAGTTGAGATGCTTTATTGGCATCCAAAATTTGCAATTTCCCTCTGAACAATTGAGGGCGCACAACATGTCAAATTATTGCATTTAGGATGTGGATCTTGAGTGTTTCCTGGTGCTTGCTGCTCCATGTTTCACTTCAGTGTGATGTCTAGCAACGCTACACTCGAAATATGTCTGGACAAAAAAGTTGCACTTTTCAGGGTTCAGCTGCAATCAATGTCACCCCGTGCCTCCTGCCCCGAGCGTTGATGCCAGGCAATGGTGGTCAGGAACCTGAACTTGATGGGCTGGCGAGAATGGTCGGCAACGGTGCCGGGCCCCTGGTTTAGCATCACATCGTGGGCTATTGTATCGCCTGCTTTCCCCAAAGCCATTTTCTAGTTCAGCGTAATGGACGCAACTGTTGGGCGTAACTCCCGCAATGGGGGGCTGAAACGGCAATATAGCTTTGTTGATCTTGAAGAACCTGAAGATGAACTTACAGACCTCCTCACCTATACCTGCAGCATCACTGGAAAGAAACGTTGTCCACCTTGTTTGCAACTTGACTGCATTCCTATGCGATATTGTTATCCAGGTCCCGTCGATCTATATAGCTATATCACATCATATCATATCAAATTGTATCATATCATATTGTAGTATATCATATCATATCATATTATATATATCATAAACTTTTGTGGCATTGATACCTCCTATGTCTGTAGTGCTTGCGTCTATAGCTTAGGCCTGTGCACTCACCTAGTCCATTGCCCAAAAGAGAACATCACAATGCGCGGCCCATTGCCACAATCCGATCCACTGGGTTGAACATTGCAAAGATGCCACATGTTGCTTGGACATCGGAACAACATGCAGTAGCCAAGAACATAACACATTTGGACTAGAGATACAACATTATGCATAGAAGTTCCAACTCATTCCAAATCTAGATCATACAGCCCCTGACTCCCTGATCTCGGTATCCAAGGTTGTGGCACTGGATGAGCCACATCACCATCACCATGGCGAGGCATTGCGTTTGCAAAGTCATCCTATGAGCTTTGAATGTCCTGAGTACTGGAAAAATGTGTATGCCCAATGTTCTTCTTTGAAAGAAATGGAAGATTTATTTTCCACCTGTGGCATTTCCATCTCCTATATGCGAGAACCGCTTCGGTTGAAATCCACAGCGGGTACAATTTTGCAAGGATGTCTCACACAGATTGACCGGTTTAGAAATCAGATGACACGATCTCTTTGTGTCTACAAAGTTGGAATCACTACCAACCCAGTGCTCCGGTTCCATTTCTATGCACGTGGAAATTATTCAAAGATGTCGTTGCTACATATTACTGAAAACATGGGGGTGGCACAAATGCTTGAAGCTGCCCTACTTGCCATGCACATTTCTGAAAAGGAATGTCGCAATGAACGCTTTGGGGGTGATGGCCCAGCTACTCTGGACCATATGGGCCCACATTTTTTGTATATCGTTGGTGCCAGGGCCGATTGTGGAAAACCAATTTCCTAGGTAATTGCAAGATAGTTGCATACTGGAACCCATTACCTTATGTATATTCACATTGAAAAAACAGATAAAACATATCCTACAACAATTATTTTCAATCAGTTCATATTAACAAATCGGAAATCGACTTGACTGGCTACTCCTTTGGCCATACTTTGGCGATAATTCAAAGAGTGAGACGTTGGAACAACGCATCACTGTTGTTGAATTAGTCCAGCAGACTTTGGCTTTGCAAGTTTCAAAACCGTTGCAGGTCTTGACTCACATTGCGGTCGTTCAATGGTCTTGGGATATGATTTGCAGAACATGCATGTAAGGGTAAAAGGAGTTAAGAACCTACAGCAACTGGAGACACTTGGAGCCATATCTCGTGTGGAGTAGATATGGTATAGATCAATGGTGCTTGCCGACTGAGGTCTCATGTCGAGATGTGATCCGACAAGCTCGTGTGACGCGGGTGAAAAGCAAGGGCATTCAAGCTCTAGCCGATGTCAACTTGAAGAGATCTGAATCAGGGGCTCATCGTGTGTTCAAAGAGTTTGGGCAGTCATCACCAGTAAAGATTAGCCGGATAGATCTACCAAGCAAAAAACGATTCCACTGGATCAAATGCAGCGACTGGATGAGATATTTGGCTGACACTGATAGACTGGATTTGCTGGTGGGTGTCAAGGACATAGAGACCATGCGGCCGTTACTTCAAGAGTTTTGGGACCGTTACTATGAGATAGCTCCTACTCACGAAATCTATGACAAACACCGGGCAGGTATCCTAGACCTCAGTCGGGTGATTCCTTTACTTCATCATGGTGATGAGGGCCGTGGCTACAAACGTTTGCAAGTGATGGTTGGGTCAACGCATGGTTTGTTGGGTAATGGATGTCGTATCACAGAACCCTCAAAGTTGAAACCTGAGTCAGCTGCCCCATGCGATGACCCCATGAAGTTGAACCTGGTGGGTAACAGCTGGTTGACCCACTTCATTCACTTCTTGGTTCCTGTGGCCCTGTACAAGGACAGTCCGGAATCATTCATGACCCTGCTTGAAGCTCTTTCAGAGGACTACAAGTTTCTATGCAATGAGGGTTTCAAGGTCAACAAAAAGCATAGGTTGTGGGCATGTTGTGTGGCTTGTAAGGGCGACAGCCCTTATATAGTCAAGGCTGGACGGTTTGAGCGCAGTTTCTACCACAGGCCTTTGAAGGCCAATAGCAAAACTCATGGAGTCGGCATTTGTCATATGTGTATGGCAGGTGTTGAATCGCTGGAGAACAGAGTTGAATTCGAGGAATTTGGTTCTTGTCCAACATGGCTTAGGACCCTGGAACTTGTTGCACCATGGGATGAAGAGCCACCCTTTCTGACAATCCCACGCGAGCTTGACAACCCCAATGGAGAACGGTTTTTCAAATTTGATCTGTTCCACAACTGGCATTTGGGAGGTGGAAAGTATTTTGTGTCATCAGCCGTCGTGCACATTGCTCAATACATTGAGACAGGACCTAGCCTTGCCAGTCGATTTGAGAAGCTGACACATGATTTCAACACGTTTTGCAAAAAGAGAAAGATGACGCCATACCACAGGAACTTGACCCAGGAGATGTTTGGGGTCAAGAAAAACCAGCAGGATTGCCCAACAGGGGGTTGGCCCAAAGGTGACCAAACAACTATGCTTGCACTTTGGTTGGAAGATTACTGTGAAAGGAACATCGTTAACAAGAGTGACGAACCAATGTGTAGCAAAATTGCGCCTTAGTGGATTTTAGCAAAGATGTTTAGATGTTTTTTTCGCCATGTTCTGGGTAGGGTTTTTTCTTTGGCAGTTCATATGCTTTGCAAGATGACAACTCTGTTGCCCTGTGCTCAGGCAGAAAGTGTGAAGCATGTCAACTCTGCGATCTCAAGCTTATACAGAAACGGTGTGTGGATTGAGCGAGGGGAGGCACGTGTCATAGCCATGCATAGCATTGAGTTTCTCCGAAACTACTCACAGTTGGCGTGGCTAGCATTTCGAAGTGGAAGTCCCAAATTTCCAATGCAACCGAAGTTTCATTACCTCAACCATACATGGGTTGAGCTTTTACAGCAAAGCCAAAAACACAGATGGTGTTTAAGTCCTTTGATTTTCTCCTGCCAAATGCAGGAGGACTTCATAGGAAAACCAAGCAGATTGTCGAGACGATGCAATCCTAGATCTGTTTCTCAAAGAGTGTTACAGCGAAGTTTTGCTGCCACAAGGCAGTGTCTTCGTTGCTTAGTAGAGACTCTATGAAGGGTTGCCATGGTTCCTTTCAAACTACTAGTCTATCATACCTCATCCATTGTATTCTCCTGAAAGATCTGGACCATTTCATTCCAACAAGTGTTGGTTCCCCCATTTGCAACCTTTATGTATGCTCTCATCTGCTTTGATCAGCTTTGATCCATGGATAGGCGGCTTAGGGGCGAGCGCGCAAAAAGGCAACCCAAATGAATACCAATGGGTATATGGAACATTGAACACTTGATCAATCCTGAAATTTCAGAAAATGAAAAAACCTGGTTTTTCCATTTCGACCTACATTCTGTAGGTTGTATGGAATGACTGTTCTTTTTCCAGGTCGGACAGGCTGCTGGTTGTTACTGAACTTCTCTGCACTCATCTTTACGACAAAGTGGCAACTAAGTTTACCCAGATTCGGCATCCGCGTGGATGAACTTCCCAACACTCGACCGCCTCCTCGGCTGTCAGCTGGTATGCCTGAGCCGAGCTTCCGCTTCCCATGGTGATCAGCAACCTGGCGGTGAGGCTCCCAGGCTCCCCTCCACAGAACATCTGCATCACTTTGACCAAGTCTTTCAAGCCCTGTTTGTTTCGAGCCCTGAGAAGTCTTCAAGTGATGCAAGTGATGCAAGTGATGCACGCCTGTTCCTGTCTCCGTTGAAAAAAAATGGTTGATACGGATGGCCCTTCACGAGGAATGCCATTTCCTCCCTTTCCAGAGACAAGTTTCCTGTCCCTTTCCCAAGTCCTGTACTTGAACAAGGTCTCAGGCTCAAAGGCCGTCTCCAACGGAACCTCAGAGTTTGAGGTGCACTGACCAGAACCTGTAAAACAAATCAGCATGATCATGAAAACCAATTCAACAAAATGAAAGGTCGAGAAAATTCACTGGTACAAACATCTTTCCTGTCTCAGGATGCAAACTGTCACTTGCAGTCAGGGTTGAGTTCTGCATCCAAAGCTGAGGCCAAGTGCGGACAGGCGTGGCACTGAATTCAGCAAGTGGCGGCAGGAGAAGGAAAAGAAAATGCCAATGACTTTGCAAAGGCACCTTTCCAACTTTGATTCTTTGTAAGTGAACTCAGGTTCTGATTTAACCATATTTAACCATTGTCACATATTGCCACTTTTTTTGAGTTTCCATGCGTTCGCAACTTTAAAATGTCTTTCAAATCCTTGAGACCCACTGTACTGGTTTCCTGCGCATGTTTTGCTGTGTTGGAGCTGCAAACTGCACCATGTCAAGCAGCATTCGAAGGGATGTTGACCTCTACCTGCTCAAACTTGATCTCGCAACTTACATTTGAGGAAGGAGATCCTCTACCCTATTCATTGCAATTGCGAAGACCAAGGATTCTGAGATTTGCATGTGGTCGATTTGAGCCGCTTAAGATGAAGTTGATGTTTTATTTTGGCATAATCTTTTGGAGGGAACATCCTCCGCGGGACAAGAACATCATTCAATGGGAGATCTCCAGGATCCTAAAACGGAGGTACGTTAGTACCATATAAGGCCAATTAAGGCCATATTTTGAGGGTATATCCCCTTACATAGCCCTTACATAGGCCTTATATATGGTAGGTACCTCCAATTTGGGTTCCTAGAATGGCCATTGAATCATGCTCACTCTGACCTTTCCTTCTGTGTTTTCTCGATACTTTGCAAGCACCATCAGGGAATGGATTCCATTTTTTTCAAATATTGTGGCATTTTTTCATGTGTCTATTTCCTTTCCCTAAACCCCTCAAGGCCTCAAGGATGTCAGAGTCCAGGATGAACTGCACTGACAGAGAGGGTGGTGCAGCAGGGAAAATTCCGAACATATCCTAAAATACCTATAAACATTTCTCAGGACAAAGATCTTGTCCAATGTGAGTACAACAATCCGAAGCAGTCACCTCTTGCACGCAAGAATTGTCTTCGCATCATGTTCACGCACAATTGTTTCGCATTTTGGTACAGTACCGCTTCTGCGTGTGTGAAACATGCAAGGTGCAACAGGCCAAACATCAACATCCATCCAGAAGACTTTTGGAGTCGTTCAATGCCAACTTCCATTGTAGCTTCAGGCCTCCAGTGGCACAAGGGCGCGATTGACATCCGTGGCTAAAAGGGCTGCACCAACTGAACTGCTCCCATTGACACATTTGTGCAGCCAAGATTCTGCGCGCTCCAACATTGTTACAATCTCGTCGTGGCCTTTCCTTCTTGCATCGTCCAACGGAGTGTTGCCTGAGTGCTGGGACCAAGACCTATGTGACGC